ACGATAAACTAGTGACAAAAAAGATGTTTGAAGCGCCAATATAATGAACATAACAGATCAAAAGTCTTTTGCACGACAAAAATGTGTATTGCGCTGAAAAAAAATCTTAGTAACGACAAGATATAAAATATAGAAAAGTACAAATTAACAACAGTATTAACCCTACAGTAGTTGCACTTATTATGAAACATGAGTGGTCGATGGGGATTGAAACCTGCACGGTAAAAAAAAATTTACTTTAATGTTTGGTTGGGAGTCAGTTTTAGAAATTAGAATTCTTATTTTGTGCAGCTGGATTTTACAGGGTTTTTATAAATGATTCTAAAGGCGTAGTTGGCCATGGATTTCAAAAATCCCGCTTCACTGAAATTATGCCTCATTATGGCAGTTCTCACTTGTCATTAATGTCATTTCTAACCTGTCTTTTAAAGTCGTCGTTTTTATTATTTTAACGTTTTTCAAGTGTGAATTACAGTGATTCTTGTTGATCCAAGCTCAAAACAACAAAACAGTCGTTTTCAAAACTCTTGGTGATTGCGTACGAAAATTTTGTTTTTGTGCTAAGAAGCAAAAACTGTGAAAATGGTTTATTCTGTTGAACAAGACACTTTCATTGTTGATTGTGATTTAATAATTCAAGAAACATCGTTAGAGGCTCACATTAGTAATCAACACATTTGTTCGAACTGGCAGTGTCAACAAAGAGAAATCTCGTGGAAGACCTTCAGTATCTGAGGAAGTTGTAGATAATTTGAGACGACTTGAGCAGAATCCGCAAACATCTTTGACAAAATTTCCTCAGCAGTCAGGACTTCGTTTGGAATGTGAAATTGAACAATGGGCATTGACGAAAGGATTACAGAACTTTTTGAAATTAAAAAGAGAGTGAACATGTGCGTTGAACAAAATGGTGAACAATTTCAATATTTACTGTGATGTTTTGACCGCAATAAATTTGTTTCTTTTTATTGTATTGAATTAGTTTTTTTTTTTTTTAAACATAATAATTAAGAGGAAGCATTTAGGCAACCGGTTATACAGATGCGTGTGGTATTTGTCATGCATCCTTGGGCATTTAGTAAGGTTTAAAACTGGGAGGCGGCACGTGTTCATGACCTACTTCGACCCTATGATAATTTATAGAAACCCTGTAGAATTAAAACACGAGAAACAAGTAAAGTGTTGTTCGAAAGATATTTTATCAATTTCCATTTCATTGTCACTGCGTATTCGGATTCAAAATTTCTCAGTAACTGATGAGATCAGGTAATGTTGTTGTTCTACAAATTTATAGAACTTGTCGTTTTAAGAAGCTACTGAAAAGTAAACTAGAATAAAAAGGCCAGTACTAATCGAAAATGTTTACTTTTGTGCATTGACCTAATCCGTCGTTCATTCTCCTTTTCTGACATTCTGACATTTCTGAAATATTTTATTAAAATTTATCGTTGGTTTATCCATTTTTGCCGTGTGCATACTGGCGTGAATAATATTATATTAAAGAACGAGTTTCATAAGGCAAGTATTGAGGCACGAACCCAAGTTGATAGAACGAGCGGCGAAGCCGCGAGTTATATAATGGATGAGTGCCACAATGGCCTTATGAACGAGAACTTTATACTATTTTTTCTACTGCCCACGTTTTTTCGCAAAATTGAATTGAAATTTGCCTTTTTTTAAATCTGGGGAATTTTGTCGTGGTTGGTGATGTGTTGGTCTGACACTAACCACGAAATATTTGAGGTTCGAATTTTCACAACAACAACTGTAATTCGAATCAATTCGAGTTTTTGTAAGTTAAAATTGGTTAAAAAGTCTTGTGGAGAAGTTAGTGAAGTCCTTACGTCTCCGGAAATACGGGAAATTTTAATTTGACATTTGCCACTGACATTCACCTGACATTTCTCGTCATGGCTACCAATCTTACCGATCGAAATTACACCAGAAGAACGCCTTTCCGCTATAAACGAACTGCTGTGACGTCATTTGCGTGCTTTAACGGTTGAAAAAATTATTTCTGTCGTGTTTATATTATTTTATGATTTCAGGTTGTGCAAAAGACCTACTCTGACATACCAATATATATTCCTCTTTTAAGAATACTGTGTAGGTAGTAAAACACTAATCTAAATTAATCTATGTGGCGCCATCAAAATTTTAATAACGAAGGATACGTAGCCAAAAAGGCTTGTGTTTTATTAGTCCATACGAAGATGCATACTGTTGTTACTAAAAAATCAGTTGTTTTCACAACCAGCAACAGTTTTACTCATACTGTTATGGCTTACACAGCATAAAGTGTTTTTGGTTCAGAGTTACTACCGAAGTAGTGTTAAAGTTGGTGGCGAATGGATTTATTCCGTGCAGGCCCGTGTGAAGGAATTTCAAAACGAATTTCCAAATGTTGCTATCGACCACATGCAGTTTAATAAAACTTTGGGCAGGACGTTAAAGCTCTTCTCAGAAAAAGCGAGTTTTATACGAAAATCTGGTCGTGGAGCAGCTAAAAAACGTACAGAAATTTCACCTTATGCTGAAGAAATAATGGAAAATACACCGAAATCGTCATTTGTCAGTTGCACCAACAACTTAATACACCTTCTGTTCCAAAATAAATATTCGATTTCTTGCGCATTTTAAAAAATGTACCTGTTATAACCTGATTGACTTGTAACAAAGAATCGTTTGCGACGAAATTCCGGATGGGACGATAACGTGTGGTGGCGGCGTACTTGGGTGCCAAGCTTTGGGTAGACTAGTATCACTGATATCAGAAACACGTCTGGCCGACCAAGCTTATGCGGCGACCTTCACGCCGCTGGGGGTGGCGCCTTCGGTCAGGAACGGCGGTCGCTCGTGCGCCAGCTCCCTCTCCGGGCGGAGGGAGCACCGGGGTGCTCTAAAGCCGGAGACACGGAATTCAGGTGGTGAGCGCCTGCGAAAACACGAGAACAGATAAAATAAAACGGCGAGGATATTTTATAACAATAAAAGGGTTTATTCCCTGCCACCAGCTACACGGTGTAAAATAATAAAACTTACGGCTAAACAGCTTAAATAACTAACAATTCGGTTTTACAAACAAAAATAAATGAAAAATAGGGATCTAATCTAGGCTGCGTGCTGGTCATTGAGTAGGACTTTTGTTGTCGACCTAACTTTCAACAAATTTTAATGTTTAACAGTATTAAAAAATTTAACCATTTCCGACAAGAAATTAAAGAAAAATTTAAGAGTAGTAGTGTAGGTAATTGTATTTACCTATCTGGTTCCATAAAAACGCATGTAGGTATATATGCAACTAGATCTATCTCCTCATTCGATTATTTATATTATTTACATTTAAAACTAATACAAAACATATAGGTGTTTCATTGTAAATGTAATAATCTATTAAAATCCGTTAAAAATTTATATTCCGATTTAAAAAATTCAGGTTTGCGCCATATTTGCAATATGTAGGAAAAATAAGTTCTCCTTTCAAGTTAAAAACAACGGTGTTTACAGAATTTTAATATTTATATTTATTCTCGGAATATTAGGCCGTGGAGTTTTATCCCGTCAAAAACTTCATGACGTCAACTCAAAATTTTGTTACGTAAATTTCAGTTGGAGTTTATAGTGTGCTTCTTTATTTGTACTTTAAGAAAAAGTCCATGTTTTCGGTGATATATACCTTAATATGTGTTTCTAGTAAGAAAAAATAACATTTTTAAAAGCAGATTTTGTGATATGTAAGCATTTTTTTCAATATTGGCATTGAGGAAGTGATTAGTTATATATACGATTGTTGTAATCGACAAAATAAAGTACCTACTCCATTCATTTTTACTTTCCGAGCGTAGATGAAAAAAGTATTGTAATCGAGTCTCTACTTTTACGTTTTTTCGACTTTTCATTACCCCTAGTGTACGAAAAGATAGGTCTCCCGTTTCCATCTGTCTGTCTGTCTCTCGTCCATCTGTCCCTCCGTCTGCCTGCCATCTGTACGAATTTTTATTAGACAGACAATCTCCGAAAGAACTGTGCCGATTGTTATAAAATTTTTAATTATATTAGGAATACCTTATAAATGGTAAAACTATAACCAAAATTTGTCTAATCATCCCCACCAACACCGTGATGACACCCTTCAAAATTTTCTCCAATATATATAACTTGAATTTCATAAAATATTATTCTCTCACACTTGTGTTTTATGAATCTCCTACGTTTGTGTATTATTATTATTGTTATTATTTAAACATCGTTCTCTTTTGCTACATAATATATAGCTTCGCAAGCGTGTCCGGAGGCTCAGTTGAGTTAGAGTGTGCATTGCAATAGGAAGTTCCGGGTACGGATCCTGGTACTTCCAGTTTTTTTTGCCCCTAAAATCAAGAACATCACTTTCAATTGTCTCGACAATAATGTCACAGTAAGATACTGTTATTGCGTGTTGTATTACACTGCAGTTATCCGTGCGCTTAATAATGCTTTCATAGTTTTCTATTATTATTACATAATATGATACATCAACCAACGCATCGGATGTCATAGATAAAACTAAAGTATGTACATAAATGTAGAAAAATGTCTCCACAGAAATCCTGTAATAATACTTCTCTAACTCACTCTAAGAACGTAAAAATTGTTTCTTTAAACTAGGAGTTTTGATTATTTCTAGATTAGAACGGAAAGTAGAATTTTATAATATATCCATTATAATTCATGTTCAGATGTGAAGACCAGGAAAAAGTAAAACCTATTTCCCCATGTGGTTTAAATAGTATATCATTAGCCAAGGTTGCAAAGCCAAGCAATCTAGACCGAGCGCAAATTGTGTGAACATATACTTGGAAAAGTCTCAAAAAATCTTGCTGGAATAATTAGTTCATTAGGACATTTTTCCAAATGTGTTCTTGGTACTGTTTAATTAATGGCCTATTTTGAGATCTTCGCTAAAAATCACAACCATGCCGCGACAGTAACAACATCTTTATATTCCCGTATTGTTCAAGGTACACAACATGTATCGCGACCGAATGCTAAAGAAAACACCAAAGACTGTAGGAGTGTGGTCAGCATGGAGTCCATGGACGCCGTGCTCGAGAAGCTGTGGGGGTGGCGTCACGCAACAGACGAGACACTGCGTTAGTAGACCTGCTGATTCGAGGTTAGTTGCCTATTCCAATTTTAAAGCATGAATAAGTGCAATCATTCATGAGAGCATCATTATTGATTTATTACATCATTTTCCACTATCATTTTCATCATATTGCTTATTGCTTCGGACTTATACGATGATGATGAATCACAAACCGTCCGAAAATAACATGTCTGTCATGACGATTTTCCTACTGAATTTATTATTATTATCAGACGTTGGTCAGATTGGTTCTAACATGATTCGCTCGGTTGGAATCAATCCTTTATTCTCGGAATGGATGCGACCGCGATTGAAGGATTGTCTAATCTGATCGAACTATTAATTAAATATTATCGATCAATCGGCAAGGACGGATCTGAATATTAATTCTATGGTCCAAACTGCTCAGTGGTAATTGTAAGGAAATTAGTTTTTTACTTCCCGAGCGTAAGCAAAGGAAGTATTGTAATCGAGTCCGTCGGCCGACTCTCTACTTTTACGTTTTCTCGATCTTTCATGACCCCTAGAAGACGAAGAAATAGGTCTCCCATTTCCGTCTGTCTGTCCGTCTGTCCGTCTGTCCGTCTGTCCGTCTGTCCGTCTGTCCGTCTGTCCGTCTGTCCGTCCGTCTGTCCGTCTGTCCGTCTGTCCGTCTGTCCGTCTGTTGTCCCGGATTTTTATTAGACAGATAATCTCCGAAAGTACTCGACCGATTGTTGTGAAATTTTGTACTTATATTAAGAATATCATGTAGATGGTAAAACGCTAACCAAAATTTGTCTAATCATCCCCACCACTAATGCGATGACGTCACTTCAAAATTGTACATAGTAAATGGGTTTTCAATTGTATAAAATAACATAGTCCTACACATGTAGTTTACAACTCTGAATCGACTTTTCACCCGAAACGTCCAGATTTTTGGAAAAAAAATCAAAATTATAAAACAACATTTTGAAATTTAATTTTTAATCTGCTAACCAGAATGCTTTGAAACGTTGCAGATGTTTTAAGGCTACAAAGAGCATCATAAATCTTTAGTCAAAAAATATTTGCTTATCCCCTCCAAAAACTTGATGACGTCAGCTCAAAAGTTTGTGGAATAAATCATATCTAAAATGTACAAAATATGATGAGTCTGTACTTGTGATCTATCACTCCATTCATATTTTTTGGATTTGCATATACAGGGTGACTCAAAAAAATTAATGAATGCGTAAATATATTTTATTGATTTAATCAGGAACTACAAAACCGAATGCTCTGAAATCTTGCAGATGTTTTAAGGTCATAAAGAGCATAATAAATGTTTAGTCAAAATATATTTGCTTATCCCCTCCAAAAACTTGATGACGTCAGCTCGAAAGTTTGCCGAATAAATCATATCTAAAATGTACAAAATATGATGAGGCTGTACTTGTCATTTATCACTCCATTCATATTTTTTTAATTTGCATATACAGAGTGACTCAAAAAAATTAATGAATGCGTAAATATATTTTATTGATTTAATCAGGAACTACAAAACGGAATGCTCTGACATCTTGCAGATGTTTTAAGGTTATAAAGAGCATAATAAATTTTTAGTCAAAATATATTTGGTTATCTTCTACAAAAAACTGATGACGTCAGCTCAAAAGTTTGCCGAATAAATCGTATCTAAAATGTACAAAATATGATGAGTCTGTACTTGTGATTTATCATTCCAATCATATTTTTGGATTTGCATATGCAGGGTGACTCAAAAAAATTAATGAAGGCGTGAATTTATTTTATCGATTTAATCAGGAATTAGAAAACCGAATGCTTTGAAATCTTGGGAATATTTTAAAGTTATTATAAGCATGGTAAACTTTTGTTCAAAATGTATTTGTTCATCCCTCCTAAAAAAATTTATGACGTCACCCTTAAATTTTGCTGAATAAATCCTATCTAAAATGCAAAAAATATGATGAGTTTGTACTTGTGATTTATCATTCCATTCATATTTTTTAGATTTTCTTAAGAGGTGGTTCAAAAAAAATTAATGAAGTCAATTTATTTTATTGATTAAATTAAAGGCAACACTTATTATTAGTATTACACCCCAACCAACCCAATTTGGTAGACACAAAATTTGTTAAAGGAAAAACTCGGTTGAAACATAAGGGTAGCACGCTTATTTACATCGACTTTAACATTACAGACCTGCATTTGTTCACTTGGTTCCGCGAATGTGAAATAGACATGTTTATAATCAACCAATTATGAATTTCACCGTCAAGAATTAAAATAAAACCCAATGTTTTATATAATAAGCGGAAGTCGAAGCAATAAAACCGATGGTCGTTTTGTTTACAGTTTCTCTGTTTGGCTCTCACGTATGCTGTTATCTTAAATTAAGAATGTTTATACATAAACGATTTTCAGTTGCCGTATACGTGAGTAAATTGTTTCGTTATTTTATTGATTATAAAAAATCAATATTCAAAACGACCCAATTCATTTTCCCGAAAATTTGGGAATACAATAATTTTATTCTTATTATTACACTACATCTATCCCAACTGATATCCGTGTCCTTGCAAAAATGTTGATGACGTCACCGCAATTTTAAATTCCCACTACAAAAATGTAATGAGAAAAAAACACAATAGCCATGCAGTCGTCAAGTTTCCGACAGCGAGGGAAGTACTGTCTAAACTCTTTAGACCAATTTTTTTTAACTAATGGTGGCATGTTTGAGCAATTTATGTTATCTGAAATGGTTTTTTAAAGAAAGAATTTTACATTGGGTTTCGTGTAGCAAAAGTTTTAATAAATTTATCAATATCTATTAAATAATTCGAGAGAACTTGTGACAATTTTAATAAGTGGGTGTACTTTTTTTTGTTCTAAAATTGAATAATAAGTAATACGGGTTAGAAAGCACGGTCTGATTGTATATGTCAGTCTAACTGGTGTTGATATATCATTCTGAGACAACTACCTACTAGTAATTAATAATCATTAATCAAGAATGGAAATTAGAAATAGTACAGTGTGTCCAACAAGTCTGGAATAAATTCAATAAAGACATAAATAAAGCAGCTTGACAAAAATCCTTCTTTTTAAACAGGCTACATTCTGTTAGCAATTTTGAACTTATATGGTTTATGACGTCAGAGTTGTCATCGATATTTCTTTTTTGCTAGAAACCCCGGTTTTATATTATATATTTTAAAAGACGCAAAACTACCAAGGTCTGAAAGTGTAAAAAATTCTCCATCCCAACAATTTACTTTGATATGGAAAAAATATTCAAAAAAGGTAAAATGACATTTTTGGATTACAAAGTTATACTGTAATTAATAATATTAAAAGTGATGAAAACTGTAAGCATAAAAACAAGAAAATCGGACTGTTCAATAATTTTTTCGTATTATTATTCCTGAAATTGTTACAGAAATTATTCTGGCTATTACGGACGCACTGTACGTTGTAGTACCATACTGTCAACACGGATAGATATATCAATGTAATTTATGAATTACAATAAGTGGTAACAGTATTTCTGAAGTAAGAGTAATGCTACTTTAAGTGATATATGGTTCTGGCAAGTACAATTATTAATTATCCAACCCGAGAACCCGTCAGCGTTTGGTCACTTTACTTTTAATAATAGTTGTGTAATAGTTAAGAAACCAGTTAACTTAATTATTCATTTAATTGATGATTAGTTCATTAGGTAATTTATCAATTTATTTATCCACGCATTGTCAGCCAACATGTAGAGAATTCATCTTGTCATTGCATTAGCTTCCACACTGATCAGTTTCATTTATCTTTCATGTAAAAGGTTTTATAATTTTGGAAACTAAGCGGTTAATATTCTTTTGTGTTGTAGTTTGTACTCTATGATTTTTCACTGTGGGGCGACAACAAGAGACAAAAACGTCATTTTGACATTTTTACAGAACGAATTATCATGTAACAAAAAAAATAAAGTAATCCTGTGATAATTCAAACATTCCAGCAAATTGAGACATGTGCACGAAATTATAAAATCCGCGAAAAATTCAAAATTTGGCCTTGAAGAACTGTTATCGTCAACAAAATGTAAATTGTATGTTTGTGTGTGTGTGTGTGTGTATGTTTTCTATATAACGGACTGCATGAAATAATTCACAAAGATTAACTATATCGTGAACCCAATTCCCATTTCACATAAAATAAAGCACATATGAGATAAATGCAACAGGCACATATTCAGTGCGGTCAAAATTAAAATAAAACGCTCACCTGCTTCGAGACCAAATGTTCAAATTCAAGCTGCAAGAAATTATTAAACGTAAAAATATATTGAAACCCTCCCGTTTTCGAGGCCATGATGATATTAATTTAACTGATGCCGCCGCCCCGGTCCGATGCCTATGGGTTTTCTAGTATGTGCGGCGATGACGGCGGCCGGGCGGGGTTTGCTAAAGAAAAGCCTGGAAATGGAAGTCGCGATGGGTATTCCAGAAAGACCTCGAACACTGAAACTCCAGAAGGGGAGCATAGGTTAAATAGAAGCCAACTAATTCAGTTGAGTCCAGTCCAGTGAATGTTTTTTGTACGTAATTGCTGTGTAATTAGTCGTGTAAATTCGAGTTAATAAGAAATAAATTGTTGAGTTTTACCCACGTCGATTTTAATTACCGATCATCGTAACATTGGTGTCGGAAGTGAGATTCAATATTAATAATTGGTTTTACGAAGATCTGCGGACAAATTGGATATGGATTCTAAAGATTGATGCCTGTTCAGAGTAGAGCTCAAGCTGCGAAAATGGAGGAACAAGTAAAGCATATGCTCGCAAAAATGGACGAAAAGATAGCGACAAGAAACAAAGAAATGGACTAGAAAATGGATACAAGGGATGACAAAATGAATGCAAGAATAGAAGAAATTAATGAAAAAATGGGTCCAAGAGATGAGAAAGTGAATACAACAATAGAAGAGATGAATGAAAAAATGGATACAAGAATGGCAAGGATGGACGAAAAAATAGATAAACACATTAGCCT